ATAAGCCGCCCCGGGCGCCACGCTCACCCCCTCAGCGGCGTGCGCGGTCAAATCGCGCGCCTTGGCGGGGCTTGGTGCCCGCGCCCTCATGCGGCGGCGCAGGCCTCCGAGGATCCCCGGCTGGACCGTCGCCTCGACACGTGCGGCTGGGCCCTCGCCCCGTCGAAGGTGCTCGCCGCACATCGGAGCTCCTCCGCAGCTGCCCTTCGCCATGCGGAAGCATGTGGGGAGGCTGCGCTTGCGGCCGATGAGTGTGGACCGATACTTCTGAGCATGGTGGGCACAAAGGTGCAACTGCGCGCTGAGGCAATGCCCCGGCCGAGGGACGTCCGATACCTCCGCGTCCTCTTGCAACAGGACAGTCGCCCCCTGCATCCCGCGGTCCCCGCATGCCTCAGGCTGAAGGGGGCGTGCTCCGCCTGCCAGCTGCACCCCAACTTGTGCGGCTTGGCATGGGCGCTCGTCCGCCTCCACTTCACTCTCCGAGTCTATATCCAGGCGGCGGCAACCCGCGGCGTCGGCGATGTAACGCGGCCCCGGCCGGGCACGGCGCAGCCGCCCGCACGCCGACCACGGCGGGCAGAGCAGCCAGTTGAGAAGCCCGAAAACCTTCCGGAGCCCCACGCCGACGGCCCGGCAGGCGGTGGCCTTCCCGTGCTCTGCTAGGTCCACGATCTGCGCGTGGTCGATGGCCGCGTACTGGTCGACATGCATGGGGTGCGCCACTGGGCAAGACGCGCACTCGACGGCACGGCATAGATGCACGTTGCCGGTCTCCTCGAGGTTCAACCGCCACTTGCGGCTGGTGCAGCCAAGGACTTGCCCGATCTTAATGTTGAGAGACCGCGGCGGTCCAGCCGATACCTGTCCGCGAAGTTGCAGCTGACGCGGGCCACCTGCCCATGCTTACGCAGGAGCACATGGTTGCGCGCTCGATTAGTCCCCCGGCCGCGCACCCCCCTAGTCTAGAACTCAGTTTCCACCGCGCCGCCCAACCCCGACCCGCGCCAGCGCACCAACATGGGTGCTGGGGGGGGAGGGGGGAGATGGGCGCCGGGCCCGTCGCCTCCGCGCCGCCGGCAGCACCAGGCAATCTGCAATCTGGTGCCAAGCCCAGCGGAGTCCGCTAGCCACCCACAGCATCGGCTGAGCCGCCGTGTTGACGATGAAGGCCAGGGCCCCAACACGAACGTGAAGATGCCCAACGCGAAGCAGAGGACGGCTGTCTCCCACCAGTAGCCAAGCATCCTAACGCCCAGCCGATCGATGGCGGATCCATCCCAGCCACCGCTCGTGCGGATCGTGCCCGCGTGGTCGGGTGAGCTCACCCGCGCACCGTAGCCCGCGAACTCGAAGACCCAGGCGGCGAAGCCCCAGCCGAGCCCCGGCCCCGTCTCGGGGGGCGGGGCGGGCGGCGGAGGCGGTGGTGGTGGCGCCCCTCGCCCGGCCCACCAGTGGGGCAGGCGCGGTGCCCAACCGCTCCACCCCCAATATCCATTCGGCCCTCTCGGCTGGTCAAGCTCGCCATCGCCCGTCCGGTTCTCCGGTGCGGCTGGCTGCCCGCGCGCGCCTTCTGGCCCGGTGTCCTCCTCGCGCTCCGGCGCGGCAGGGCTGCCCGCAGGCTCGCCCCCGCGCGCGCGCCCCGAGCCCGCAGGGGGGGGCGTCGTCGTCGACCTCGCCTGCGGTGGCGGGGGGGTGACTGGCACCCCCGGGGACTTGGCCGGCGGCCCTCGCCCCTTCCCTCCCTCGGGCGCGGGCTTGGCAGGCGGCCCCCGCCCTTTGCCGTGCCCCCCGCCGCGCCGCCCGCCGGTAGAGCTTTCGGCCCGGGCGTGGCCGGCGGCGTCGGCGCTGGGACCTCGCCCCACGCGCGCCCGAACGGCAACCAGCTCAGCGCCCCCTGGACCGAGAAGGTGCCGCCCATAACCAGGATCATCAGGTGCGCCCCGCAGTCTACAAACCATCAGACTATACAAAAACCCCGCTAGATAGGCGCGCGCGCATGGGGGGGGGGGGGGCGCGCGCGGGCGAGCAGCGGTGCCGGGTTGTGCCGGTGGCAGGTGGCGTCCGTTTCGCGGTCGGGCCAGCAGGCCTGGACCTGCCTGGCGGCCCGGCGTCAGAACTCCGTGCCGATTGCGGCGGAGAGGCGCCGGCACGGCCACTCCCCGTCGGATCAGCCGCGCCTCCGCCATTGTTTAATCGCGAGAATGCGGAGGATGGCGGTCGTTCGGGGGTCAGGCTGGTACGTGGTGTTTTGCCGTGCCAGGGCGTCCACGTGCGCGGAACAGTGCTCGACCTTGCGTCGGTACATGGTGGCCGCACAATCCGAGCCTGCGGCCACGGCGTCGGGCGAGGCCACGCGGACATCTACGGCCATGACGTCGCTGCCCAAGGCACCAGTGAGGACGTCTGCTGGTCGGAAGGGGGGCGGGGGTGTTCAAGCCCCCCCATCCCCCCTCCGGGCCGGCGCCAGCGCCGGCGTCGGCTGGCGGCGGCGACGGGGAGCGTCGACGACGAGAGGACGACGGCGACGACGACGACCACGACGGCGACGACGGCGACGAAGACGACGATGACGAACACGACGGCGGCGACAGCGACGACGAAGACGACGACGACGACGACGACGACGGCCACGACGACGCCGAGCACGACGACGAAGACGACGACGACAAAGACCACGGCGACGAGCACGACGAAAACGACGGCGACGACGGCGACGACGACGACAACGACGAAGACGACGACGGCGACGTCGACGACAGAGACAGACGGCGACGACGACGACGGAGACGACGACGACGACGGCCACGACGACGCCAACAGACGACGACAACCAGAACAAGCTCGAAGACGGCGACACTGACGGCGGCGACGACGACGGCAACGACGGCGACGACGGCGACGACGACGACGACCGCCGCTGTCGTCGTCGTCGTCGCCGCTGTCGGAAAGCGGCGACGTCGACGACGACGAGAGAAGGCGACGACGGCGACGACGACGACGACGACGACGGCGACGGCAATGACGACGAGCATGACGACGGCGACGGCGACGACGGCGGCGACGACCACGACGACGGAAACGACGACGACGACGGCGACGACGAAGACGACGACGACAACGACGACAACGGCGACGACGACGACGACCACGACGACCACGACGACGTCGAAGACGGCGACGGCGACAACGACGGCGATGAACACGACGAAGACGACGACAACGACGAGCACCACGATGACGACGGCCACGACGACGACGACGACGACGACGGCGACTGTCGACGACGGCGACGACGGCGACGACGAGAACGACGAGCACGACGACGACGACGACGACCACGACGACGAAAGCGACGACGACGACAACGACGACGGCGGCTGCGACGACGGGGACGACGACGACGACGGCAACGAGCACGACGACGACGACGACGACGACGCCGACATCGGCGACGACGACGACGAAGACGACAGCGACAGTCACGACGACGACGACGCCGACGACGATGACGGCGACGACCACGACGACTTGCACGACGACGGCGACGACGAAGACGACGACGGCGACGGCCACAAGGACGACGACGCCGACAACAGCGACGACGACGGACGGCGACAGTGACGACGACGACGACGACGACAACCACGACGACGACGGCGAGGACGGCGACGACGACAACGACGACGTGCACGACGACGGCGACGACGGCGACGACGAAGACGACGACGGCGACGGCGACAATGACGACGACGACGACGAGCATGACGACGGCGACGGCGACGGCAACGACGACGACAACCACGACCACGACGGAGACGACGACCATGGCGACGACGACGAGCACGAGGACGGAGACGGCGACGACGGCGACGACGACGAAGACGACGGCCACGACGGCGACGACGACGACAGCAACGACGATGACGAAGACGACGACGACGACGGCCACGACGACGACAACCGACAGCGACGACGACAACGGCGACGACAGTGACGAAAACGATGATGACGACGGCGACGACGACTGCGACGGTAACCACGGCGACGACGACCAGGACGACGGCAACGACAGCGACGACGACGACGAAGACGGCGACGACGACGGCGACGACGTCGACGACGGCGACGACGAAGACGACGACGGCGACAACGACCACGACGACGATGACGGCGGCGACGGCGACGGCGGCTACGACGACAACGACGGCGACGGGGACGACGACGACGACAACGACGGCGACGACGACGACGACAACCACGACGACGACGGCGACGACGTCGACGACGGCGCCGACGACGACAACGACGACGACGAGCACGACGTCGACGACGGCGACGTCGACGACGATGAAGACTACAACGACGACAACGGCGACGCTGACGACGACGACAACGACCGCGACGACCACGACGGAGACGACGACGACGACGACGATTACGACGACGACCACGACGACGAGCGCGACGACCACGACGAAGAGGACAACGGCGACAATGACGACGGCGACCACGACGACGACGAGCATGGAGACGACGACGACAATGACGACGGCGACAGCGACGGCGACGACGACGATTCCGACGGTGACGACGACGACGACGGCGACGACGGCGACGACGACGACGACGACGTGGACGGCGACGACGGCGACGCCGTACACTTGAGGTCCAGCCCGTCAACATTTGAACTCTCAGGGCCGAGGACAGAGGACTACACGGTACCTCGCGTCGTCGTATTCGTCCCGCACATCGTCGCCGCGTCGCCGCGGTCGGCGCTGCCGCCCACTACCGTGAGGAGAGGAAACGTAATTACGCGTGCGAGGGGGAAGCGAGGGATGATGGAAAGGATGACGGGCACGAGGACGATGATCAGGACGAGGGTCGGGCAAGGCAACAAAAACACGGTGAGAGAATAGAAAGGGGGACGGGAGCAGAGGAGAGACATTGGAGGAATGGAGGAGCAGGGAGCACAGAGCAGAAGGGGGTCAGGAGGATAACCAGGCGGAGAAGGAAAGCGGATCAGGATGGGGCGTTGAAAGCCTCGAGGACAACGAAGACAACGAGGCGGATTATGATGGAGCGTTGAAGGCCACGAGGACAAGAGAAGGACGAGGAAGGAAGACGGGCGAGGAAGTCAAGGAGCAGGACGGGGCTACAGACCTAAGCGGCATGTGGCCTGGAAAACAGGAGACAACACGACAACCCACATGAGCAACTAGATTCGATTGGTGATTATTATTGTAAGGGCGTTGCAATGTGTGTATGTGTGCCCTGTGTGATACGCCCGTCGCCATCACCGAAAACGGAAAACCGCATTCAAGCGCAGTCCGCCGTTGTCACGTGTGCGTCGGGACTTGACCGAACACCCGGGTTCTGCTGGAAGTCGTCCTGGGCATGGTATGGAGGTGAGTCTGACCGTGGGGAGGAGCCCTCCACCCCTAAGGAGGCCGTGCAACGGACGAAACATGAAAACCATCCTGCCCCCCCCCTTCGCCCTGATCCTCTCAAGGAACACGCCCACAACTTCAACGATCGTCGCGGGCGGCAAGCCGTACAGCTTCGTGAACGCGAAGGTATCGTGCGTCATCGCCAGTACCTGCGCCCCCCTCGCGGCGCTGCCACGATCGAGCGTGCGCCCTTGTGCAAGCGACTCGTCACCCCCTCCCAGTTCCTCAGACGCTCCCAGGGGCCTGGAAAGGGAAGGGAGAAGGAAGAGGCGAGGGAGGCAGGGAGGAGGAGGAGGAAGAGGAAAACGACCAGCATCTCCGACGTCACGACCTTTGCGCGACGTAACCCCCTGGAGCTCTCGACCCTTTCCCTGAGGTTCGTTGTTCGTCTGTGGCCTTTGTTGGTGGCCCTGGGACCCGAAACACGACAAACAAGACTGTCAAAGCCGAAACCGATGACGTACGTGCGGCCTCGACTTCGCTGTAACAGGGGTCGTCTGGGTCCCCCGCTTGGTCTCGCTCGAAAGACCCTCCCATATACCATCCTGAACAGTTGTTCGATCTGCGTCCAGCAGTGGCCGCAAAGGGCCCCGAAGCCCCGAGAAGGCCCCTGGAGGACAGAAGGAGGTCTGGCGCGCCTTCGCGTCCTCGTCGTCCAGGGTGTCACAGAACTTCCGCGTCCAACGGCGCTCGGACCCGAGCAGGTCGGGCACTTTGTGCCAGGCCGCGGGCAGCGCCATGTACTGCCTAGTAGCGTAGCGCGAAAGAGAGAACATGGCACCTCCTCCTCCTCCTCCTTCTCCTACTCCTCCATCCGTCTGTTTGTATAAACAAGCGTGGGGGAGTGTTTTGCCTTCTTGTCGTCAGCTTGGGCAAAGGCTTCTTCAGATTAGTAAGTTCGTGATGCTCTTGTTACCTAACAGCGAAGACTAATAGGTTTCTAATAGGGCATCATGACTCCCCAGAGGGGGTCTGGGCGGGATCCGGACGGGTGCCCCGGAAAACCGGGGACTCCATTTTTAGCCAACAGTAGCGCACTTCGTGGTCTTCGAGTTCCCAGAAGTCCATTCCTGGGCATGAATCTGAATGCCCGGAGCCAACTGTTGTAGGCCACTTCGTGGTCTTCGAGTTCCCAGAACTCCATTCCTGGACATGATTTTGAATGCCCTGAGCCAACTGTAGGCCACTTCGTGGTCTTCGAGTTCCCAGAACTCCATTCCTGGGATTGACTTTGAATGCCCGGAGCCAGCTGTATGCCACTTCGTGGTCTTCGAGTACCCAGAACTCCATTCCTGGGCATGATTTTGAATGCCCGGAGCCAACTGCAAGCCACTTCGTGTTCTTCGATTACCCAGAACTCCATTCCCGGGCCACATTTCGAATGCTGAGGCAGGCTGAGGCTGAGGCTGAGGCTGAGGCTGAGGCTGAGGCAGGCTGAGGCTGAGGCCGAGGCTGAAGGCAGACTGAGGCTGAGGCTGAAGCTGAGGCTGAGGCTGAGGCTGAGGCAGGCTGAGGCTGAGGCTGAGGCAGGCTGAGGCTGAGGCTGAGGCTGAGGCTGATGCAGGCTGAGGCTGAGGCAGGCTGAGGCTGAGGCCGAGGCTGAAGGCAGACTGAGGCTGAGGCTGAGGCTGAGGCTGAGGCTGCTGAGGCAGGCTGAGGCTGAGGCTGAGGCAGGCTGAGGCTGAGGCAGGCTGAGGCTGAGGCAGGCTGAGGCTGAGGCCGAGGCTGAAGGCAGACTGAGGAGGCTGAAGCAGGCTGAGGCTGAGCAGGCTGAGGCTGAGGCTGAGGCAGGCTGAGGCTGAGGCAGGCTGAGGCTGAGGCTGAGGCAGGCTGATGCTGAGGCAGGCTGAGGCTGAGGCTGAGGCTGAAGCAGGCTGAGGCTGAGGCCGAGGCTGAAGGCAGACTGAGGTTGAGGCTGAAGCAGGCTGAGGCTGAGGCTGAGGCTGAGGCAGGCTGAGGCTGAGGCTGAGGCAGGCTGAGGCTGAGGCAGGCTGAGGCTCAGGCTGAGGCTGAGGCTGAGGCTGAGGCTGAGGCAGGCTGAGGCTGAGGCAGGCTGAGGCTGAGGCCGAGGCTGAAGGCAGACTGAGGCTGATGCTGAAGCAGCCTCAGGCAGGCTGAGGCTGAGGCTGAGGCAGGCTGAGGCTGGGGCAGGCTGAGGTTGTGGCTTTGACTGCGACTGCCGTTGCCGCTGCGACTGTCATTGCGAATGCGACTTCGACTGCGAGAACAGCAGAATTCTAAAACTGGATTCTCATCTAAATATTTAAAGGAATGCTTCCAGATTTGCTCCTACACATCGCTGTGAGGTTGCTTTGCCGGGATAATGCGTGATTTTCGTGTTCGTCTTTCTCCTGGATAATCTGGTAATGGGGGCTTGCCTAAGGACAAGGTGTACGTGTGTGCGCGCTGGCCGGCCGAGAGGGAGGGAGGCCGCGCGCGCGTTCTTCTCCTCGGAGCAAGCGAACATCTGCGGGCACTGTCGTATATTTCTCTATCCCTGCCAACCCTATGTTGCAGGGGATGAGCAGGGGGGATGCAACTAGCGAGGGGGGCATTAACTCCCCCCGCGGCCTCCCGGCGTGGCACTGCCGCGCACGGGTGGACGTCGGCACATTGGCTAACATCCCGAGCAAAGGAGGCGGGGCACGCCTAGCGAACTTCGGCAGGTTCCAAGAGCGCTGGACAGCCTTCACCCCTCCCCCAAGGCCACATTGGGCCCCCCACAGCGCCAAACCCAAAAAGATCTTACGGCACCGGTGGCAGGGAAGGGAGCACTCCTGTCACTGCTCGATGGGACTAGCCGAGAGCCTGTCGGCTTATCCCACCCACAATAGCATTGACGCTCGTGCGTACTGCCCAACACTCAACTCATAAGGCAGCGCAGCCAGCCCGCTGAATGCCTCTGCGCACCAGCAGTCCTGGGGCACTGCCCCAGAATATGCAGGTCCTGCTCGGGACACTGTCCCGACACTATAACCCTGCCCTGCCATCGTAGCGCCACTGGCTACTGGAGGGGCCATGCCCTGGCTGCTGTTCCAGCCCTGTCAGCTGCTGAAGCTCCACGATGTACTCTACGAAGCCCAATGACAAAGGTCTGAACGCCAGGGGGGCGAGAAGATACCACTTCCGTCTTCCACGCCTGCGCGTTTCCTTCGCTGACAAGGTGGGATAGGCGCCTCTTTTTTGAAGGCGCCTCGGTCAGTCGCGCCGGCAAGGGCGGCGCGGCCGTCAGTCGCACGGATAGAGGCGCTGCCTCCGTCAAGCGGATGTCCGTTTCTCCGCTCCTTCCACTGGTTACACCGGGCCCCGAATGGCGAAGCGCGCGCAATGGCATTCATTGTTCCACTTCCAATGTCGTGAGTCCCCAGGCACGGCGACGCAAAAACGGTTTGTCGCTCAGGGGGCGCATGGCTCCCACTGCGCTTCTGCGCGCAATCAAGGCCTCGGCTCCACTCGTATGTCCGCGCCCGCGCAAAGCGTAGTCTGGGCTTCTGCGCCACTTCCTGGAGCCAATCATTGATATCTGCTGGCGAGGCATTGGGTCGCGATGGAAGGCGCCAGGACAGGACGGATATGATTTTGCGAGCGAGTGCTGTCTCGCCCTGCGGGGCCCGCCCGCGACAAAACTGCACCTCTCTTTGCTGGGACCACCTCGTCTCGGACTTCAGTGTTCATTTGTCGGTAAGCCGACCTCGCGTGGACTTTGCAAGCCGATAAGACTGCGCCAGACCAAGAACACTGTCCCCGGCCTCTGCGTCAATCACAAGGTCCGCCAGTTTCTCGAGCCCGGACGTCTCCCACGTGCAGTCCGAGGTGCCAACAGACTGCTCATAAAGAATCGGCAGTTTGCAATGCATACAGTGCGTGCGTCGTCTGAGGGCACCGGCAAGAACATCTTATTATTGTAGTCCTTCGTGGCCAAGTGGTCGTTCGGCTTGCCCAAACGATTGAAGGCATCTTTGTATTTCACGTAGCCAACGCAGCCCGGATCCTTGGTCGGGGTGGTCCAGACTCCGAAAGCGAAGATCAAATACCACGGTCCAAGACGCTGTCGGGACCAGTGTATCTGCCACGATCACCTGCGTTGTCTGGTGAATGTCGTCCCGACGAGGGCGGAATTCAGTGGCTAGAGCCCCATCTAGCAAGACCCGGAATGTGGACGCGTCAAAGATCCGTGAAGACACCGTTGCCAGGTGATGGGCCGACAACTTAGCGGGGTTGCCCGCATCGAAAACAATCTTTCCTCTGAGAATCGGGGGTAATAAGATGCCGAAGGAATTAAGGTCTCGTGTACAATGCGCTCAGTAGTAGAGGGTTTGGGACGAGGCATCGATGAAACAATCTATTATCCGTATAGCAAATGATACCAAGTATGGGAAGGGAGGAGGCCAGCCAGAGACGGACGACGACACGAGCCGCCCGCGCGCCCCCGGCGCACTCCTTTTCGCACTTGATAAGCAAACAGCTTCAGTATACAAGTAATGTCAATGATGTACAAGTAAGGCGGCAGCAGAGGCACATAATGATGAGGCGGAGAGGAGCATATTCACTCCCCCCGCGGCGGGTTACGTAGAGCAGCTCCAGCCACAGCCCGCCCGGCCTGCACGCATTTACAGCCGCCGAAGCGAACCCCAAAAGCATTTTACCGCTCAGCGGTGGTTGCCAGGGGGCTAAAGGCCGAAGAAACCCGACGTATCACACTAATAACAAAATGGGCCTCTCTCGTCGAAACGACTGGGTCGTTCAACTCACGCCGAAACGACTGGGTCGTTCGACTTGCCTCCTCACTCACTTCTTGCGCCAGGAGGACTGCAAACGCGATGGTGGAGCCGGAGGCCTTGGAGTGGAAGATGAAGAGCCCCCCTTCTGCCAGGCTGGCAGAGGAGGCGCAAAGGACTTGCCTCCTTTTCCAGGGCCAGCATATGGAGCTGGCCGAACGTGCTTGGACTTGTCCTTGTTCTTGTTGTATCCCTTGCCCTGGCCTCTCTGGAACCAGTGGTTGTACTCGTTCTGGGGCGCAAAGTGCCATGCTCGACTTGCGGATTCCCTGGGCGCCAGCTAATGCACTTGGTCACGGTGCACCAAGAAGCCCACCACCTCACCGTGCTCGGAGTTCTGCGGGTAGTGGTGCATGGGGTCCCAGTCGCCATCGCCACGGCCGGCAGCCATGGCTCCGCCGCGCCCGCGCGCTGTCATTGGCTGATCCCGCGCGCGCCCGTCTGGGGAACACCTCGAAAGTTCATCGCCCGCCGATGCGGTTTGACCGCCGGCGGAGTATGGAGACTCTGTGGCATCGTCACTGGCCCGAGCGTCTTGGACGCTGGGCGGTCTAGGCGGGACAGGTGGAGCCGGGCGGCCAGCAGGGCTTGGTCCTGCCGGCACTGTAGAAGCCACCCCTGGAACGGCTGGGCCGTCGGAAGGGTCGTCTGCGGCTCTCTCCTCACGCAGACGTGTCTCGTGCCGTAACTTTGCATACCTCACAATACCCGTCGCGGCAGTCGTCACGCAGGGACCGTAGCGCCCATTGGCAGTGCGAAGGGGGCCTATGTCACAATCCTGTTCTGGGTGCGACTCCAAGAATGCGTAAAGGAAAACGGCGGCTTCTTGCGATGCTCCGCCGTGGCGACGGAGCTCGGCACGACGCTCAATGCAAAGGTCGCGAGACCACTGTTCAACGAGGTCATCTGCGTGGACAGCCGAACGAATACGGCTGTCCAGCGCATATGCGTCGGCGCGGCGCTGTTCAA